AGGTAATAATATGGTTTAACAGACTCGAACATCACCAACAAGAAGAATCATAACAGAGATTACATGCAAGTTATAATATAGAATTTTTCATTTTTATGTAATTGTAAGAAACACAAGAACACCTACACAAACTGTTTAGTAGATTTAAAAATTTTAATTTTGGCTGGTTAAAATGCGGTTTGCTTTAGATAAAAGAAACATTTACTTCTGATTCCTTCAGTTGCAGTCACAAATTTTCACTTTGTGATAGTATGCACACACAAAATAAAAAACTTTACTAATCATAATTTTGATACTGCAAAGCATCATCTTGGTGCTTTAAAAGTACAAGCTTTGCTTTCTATAGTGGTTGGCATGCACACACACTCCCAACGAAACACACACACCCCTTTAGAAATTTCGGTGCTTCCAGATGCAAATTAGATGTCTCCAAAGCCAGCTGCACAGGAATGAGGTTGTCTAAGCAGGAAATTAGATCTGCTTCACACGGTTTTAAGTTGCTGTTGCTTGGGTTTCCACTCGACACTTTTCATCTTTCTTATAAAATATGCACACAAGAAGTATTGTCGTTCTCAGTGGGCATTTTCTGTTTGTGTGATAGGTGTGTTAAGCACTAAAGCTTTCTCGTTTTGCCTTAGATGCTCCAATGATTCTCTTTTCTCCATATGTCAACACTTTTAACAGACTCAACAGTCACTTCTCAAAATCTCAAGTACCTAAGCTGTCAAATAGAAGAACATGAGTAGTTGACACAGTATGTGAGAGAAGTTTGCCTGGCTGTGAGTCCCCAATTAGCATTTCATGATCATAAATTAATCCAACATATCTCAAACATGGGGGTTTAGTACTGTATAGTTATTTAACTATTTAATATTAATACCTTTACTGTATGTTAATGACAGAACAGATCATTGTAAAGCAACATCTATTTTTTTCATATTAATAATATCCCTCTATGTTTTTCAAACTACAAACATACAAGCATAGATAAACTGTTTTCTTTTCCCTGTGTTATCTTTTGGAAACTCATTTCAAAGGTTACTTGTAATTTATGTCAAGTGTAAAAAGCCTTTTAGATGGGAATTTAGTGTCATTTTCACTATAGACAAACCAAACTAGGTTTAATTTTTAGGGGAGACAACATTTAGATTTCAAGAATTGAAAATAATCTATCTATCCATTATCTGACATGCTTAATACCAAGTGCGGTTGCGAGGGGTGCTGGTGCCTCTTTCCAGCTATCTACGGGCGAGAGGCGGGGTACACCCTGGACGGGTCGCCAGTCCATCGCAGTTAAAAAAAAAGTCCATATTATCTAAAACATTCCTAAAATGAATTTGGCCCTATTGGCTCTAAGATTACAATGTAAGACCTGGCTTAGATTTTTCATGGTTTACTTTCATTGGCTCTTAAAAACAAAGTACAAAATAGAATGTACTTGTGGTAACATCCTGTTAAAGACTACTGAAGTAAAACGTGGGCAGTAATGAATGTTTTATTTTTGGATTACATGGGGTGTTACTGACATGACATGAAAATGTCATGATAATAGCACCTCTAGAAATATATTTACTGAGAAAAATGGTGCAGTGTTCAGTACTGATTTCAGCCACTGTGTCCTCCAGCACCCTGGAATAGACCTTCCCAGGGAGGCTGAGAAGTGTGATCCCCCTATAGTTTAAACACACCCTCCGGCCCCGCTTCTTATGTAGGGGAACCACCACTCCAGTCTGCCAGTCCAGGGGCACTGTCCCCAATATCCACACAGTGCTGTGGAGGTATGTGAACCATGACAGCCCTGAAACATCCAGAGACCTGAGGTTCTCAGGGCAGACCTGACGCCCTGTCATGCTGGAGTTTTTTGAACATCTTGGTGATCTCAGCCTAGGTGATGAAAAAATTAGGCCCTGGATACCCCATCCCTTCGTCCACCACGGACGCTGTGTTGGCGTGAGTGAAGAAATCTTCAAAGCATTCCTTGCACTGTCGGACAATGTCTGCTTTCAGAGTCAAAGGGTCCCCACTGCCACTGAAAACAGTTTTATCAAAGTACTTTTTCAACTCCAAAAAAGTTACAAAGTTAAAAAGTTAAGAAAAAATCCACTGGACTTTGTTTCCAAATATGAAGACTTTTCGCTTCCCATCCAGGAAGCTTTTTCAATTCAAAATGTCAGAAATAACGTTGAGGTCCAGGTTTTATAGTTTTTCCAATTACAATCCTGACAAATCTACTGTCTTACACTCAACAAATGTTGACACTTTAGTAATCTGACAATTTGCCTTTGAGCGGTTTCTGAAGTTCAGTTAATTCATCCCCCTCTTTCTTTTCCATTTTTAATACACATTTTGTTCTAATGACAGGGTTTGTCAACTGGATTGAAAATCATTGAGTAGGATGCAGTTTCCTGCCAGCAAAAAATAAATTGAACTGAAAGTTTGCTATGAAGAATGTTTGTTTATTAAATCAGTTGGGAGAAATGCTGCTGAAACAATGGTGTCATCACAAAAGGCCTTTCTCTTGTGAGTGAAGTGCAGCTAGGCTAACATCTGTGCTGGTAGATAGTCATGGCTGCCAATATTATTTATGCCCCTCACTTCTATCTGCAGAGCATATTGCTCTAAAGGCAAACAACTTGAAGAGCTGATGAAGCTGCTTTGATGAACAAGTCCTTCAAAATTTACCACACTGACATTGTTGCCAGCTATTTCTATTTCTTGTTATAATGAAACACTGCGTTTAGGTTTGGATTTTGTAACCTTATGTCACAGAGAGCCATTAGTGTTGTTTGATACAAAAATCTACTGAGGCAATAACATGTATGGCGTTATGGGGGATTTTTCGGCTTAAATCAAAACAAAATAAAAAAAACTTGTAAACATGTATGAATATGTAACCTCGAAATAAAGCTAATGCCTCAGATAAAACACACTCAGGGTAATATGTTGTTAACATCATGCTATAAATAGTAAGCAGGCTAAAAGATCTGGTACATTTGAGTTATTTTTCTGCTGTTTTACATATTCCTTTTGCATCAAACACTATCTATCTATCTATCTATCTATCTATC